AGTTATAACTACCATGGCTATACATAATTTCATCTGACGACATTCTTCTACCGATAAAGAATTCAACTATTATGCTAATGAAGACATTAGTGCAGAGATTGACGAAGGAGATGAGCCTTCTGATATTTAGAAATGCGAGGCAAGTCTTCTACTAATATGGAGGCATTGTGTGATAGAAGTAGAGATAAAATTGTTGAAAAATATTATCATGTGTGAGTGACTTTACTTATTATTTTATGATGGATTATCAATATATAGTAATTTGTGGATAGACTTCTAATTTATACTGAATGATGTATTTTAGTTATTCAAATCATCATATAATAATAAGTAATTATACTAGATAATATCATATGCTTTGGTATAACTATATATGTAAAATATGTTTGTTTACTTTATATTTTATATTTTAATAAAATAAAATAAAATAATAATAAAAGTCTCTTTCGATAAATATTTAAGTTCATTTTTCTATTTAAAAAAATTATAAGACCTTGATACTGTCCTTTTTGGTAATTTAACACTCAAAAGTACTTTTTAAAAAGATGGGCCAAACACAATTTGTTTGCCAAATATTACAAAAAAAAAATCTTAAATGAATTGGCCAAACACAAATAGTTTTTTTTTTCAAAAGTAATTCTAAAAAAAGTACATTTCAAAATAAGCAGATTTTGACAGCTTGGCCAAATTGACTCTTAAAAATAATTTTTAAAAGCTTGACTAATTACTGCTCAAAAATATTTTTCAAATTAGTCAAATACAAATCAATTCCTACTAAAAGTTTTACAAGTTTAGCCAAACTGGCTATAAATACTATCAGTTTGGCTTAAATAACAAGGAGGTAATAGAAGTCTCTAGACGCAGCTTTAATTGGCGGTAGGGCTAGAACAAACAGGCGAGAAGCTTCAATCGGACTGTGGAGACCTAATTGTTTGGTTTTCTTAGCACAAGAAAAGCATGTAATTTCTCTTCTTCTTCTTTTTCTGGAACACAACTTACCATTTACGATTTATCTGTTAAAATCAAAATCGTTAATAGTTTTTGGCTGTGAATTGTAATGTTGTATATAATAATAGGAGGCATTCGGTAAATCGTCCACCAACACCTGATACACGGGATGATCAAGAAAAGGAGCCTACCCTTAATGAAATTATCAACATTAAGGTCAATTTTTATCAAAAATTTCTTTTGGATACATAGTTTGCAGTTTTTGATTATTCATCAGATGTATAATTTCTGAATGTTTGATTAATTGCTTGTTCAGTTGATTGAGAGTGGGGAAAAAGAACGGTTGAAGGAGCTTTTGAGGGAAAGGCTTGTGGAGTCTGGGTGGAAGGATGAAATGAAAGCTCTTTGTAGGTAATGTCTCTCTCTGACCTTGTTTCAAACACTTGGAAGGATAAAAACTATTGTTAGGAGAAATGTGTTACTTAGCTACTTTTTCAATACATGAGTGTTTCTGATAAAATTCGAACAACACAGAGAAGATTAGATGAGTTTTATTTGTTTCATAGCAACTACTTCCTTGCTCTTTTGCTACAATGAAGCCCCAATTGAAAGTTAATCACTTTTCTTAGTTTGCTGGCAAGTGAAATAACAACCTATTTGACAATCTTGTTCTGTTTATTTTGCTGGCGAGATATATACAATTGTCTACATCCATACCTTGCATCCTAGAGGTGCATGGTTCGATTCTTACCAGGCCTCTCCTTTCCTCTTTCCTCACCCCAGACCTTCCCCACCCTAAAATGAAGGGGAAAGATCCCAAATGGTGTTTGACAAGAATTTAAGGTAATTCAAGTCTTGAAAAATGGAGCCACTTACAAGTAGGGTGCTCCAACTGCCACTTAACTCTTATAATTGATTGATTTCCCCCTTTACTCTTTGACATAACTTTTCCTCACCCATGAAAAATGTAAAAAATATTATCTATGTGGTCTTACATACACCAACCATCTGCATACCAAACCGCCC